CACCGAGTGGCTGTGGATGGAGAGGAGTGCCCACACCCCTGGAGAAATCCGTTCTGAGAACGGTCAGGAACTGAGGGCAGAGGCTTGAGGGGGAAACCCTTCAGAGGAGGGGGACGAGGAGGAGGGAGGCACAATCTGACCAGCCGTGGGAGACTCCACGGGAGACAGAAGAGCCTCATAAAGCAACTTGTACTTTCTGTATTGCTGAAAAAAACCTGAAAATTTTACATAAAGAACAGAAGGCAGCTCGACAGTGTCTGTGGCTGATTTCAAGCACTGTTGTGGCTCACATGTGGTCCAGTTTCTGGACGTATTTGCTTTTCCTTATGTGATTTTAGACCAATCTCTGTCAACTATGCTGGTAGATTTAGGATCTATGCTGGCCGATAGACAGGAAGACAGTATGAACGAGGAAACTCAGACTTCAACCTTCCCCCAACTCTCCCTCCTGCCTGGCGGGGAGGCTGCATGTAGCAGGGGAGGTGGGGGGAGAGAATACAACATCGCAACCCTTTTTGGGGGGAGAGATAAGAAAGGGAATTGAAAAGGGAAGTAGAAATGGAGAGAGGGAGCCCGGGTGGCTCCGTCGGTTGAGTGTCCAGCTTCAGCTCAGGTCATGATCTCGCTATTTGTGAGTTGGAGTCCCTCATCCGGCTCAGTGTTGACAGCCCACTTCAGATCCCCTGTCCCCTTCTCTCTCTGCCCCTCCCCCACTCGTGCACGCACGTGAGTGTGTGCTCTCTCTAGCTCAAAAATAAACAAATATTAAAAAAAAAAAAAAGGATTTAAAGAATGGAGAGAGTTTTCGTGAAGGCCCTGTCTCACGAAATATCATACTTTGTGTTTGGACAAGTGAGTTCAGATCCCATCCTTCTTTCCTGTGCCACATAACACCCAGCTTCATGTTACATCATCTACCTTCCTTTTCCAACACTTCTGAGGGAACAGCCTCCATTTTGGGAAAGGAATTAGAACATATCCTTTAAGTGGTTTTCCCTTTTCAAGGTATCTTCACTTTTTCTTTTATCTTAGTGAATGTTTTGTTCAAGATTTGTAGCAAACAAGCCATTAGGAAGATAATACACACAGCTTAGAAGAATGAAACAAAATTATTAGAAATGAGAATGCAGGGGCGCCTGGGTGGCTCAGTGGGTTAAGCATCTGACTTTGGCTCAGGTCATGATCTCACTGTTTGTGAGTTCGAGGCCCACATCAGGTTCTCTACTGTCAGCACAGAGCCTGCTTCGGATCCTCTGTCCGCCCCCCTCCCCCCCCCTCTCCCCCCCAAAAAAAAAAAATAAAAAAAAAAAAAAAAGAAGTGAGAAGGCTCCCAAAAGCCCATTAGAAAGCAAATTTCCATTGAAGAGATTGGTTTAGGTCCATTTGGATTCTCACAGAAGTCCCACTTAAATAGACAAGAAAAAAATCTGGGAAGAAGTTCTTTTAAAGAATAAGCAAAGTATGAATTTGCTATATATTAATTATTATTTTTCTTCTGGGATGCATCTCTTTTTTAAAATGTTAATTTATTTATTTATTTTTTGAGAGAGAGAGAGAGAGAGAGAGAGAACGCGCACATGTGGAGGAGGGGGAGAGAGAGAGAGAGAACCCCAAGCAGGCTCTGTGCTGTCAGCGCAGAGCCTGATGTGGGGCTCAATTTTACAAACCATGAGAACGTGACCTGAGCTGAAACCAAGAGTCGGACGCTTAACCAACTGAGCCACCCTGGGATGCATGTCTCATGAGGCAGTGCATCCTAACATAGGAGATAACTACCTTCAGTGGCAGAAGGTTGCATACGATCTCAGAATAGCACAATGCTACGTGATAAGCCATGGGCCTAAATTCCACCGACCTTGAATTTCTTGGAAGTGTTCTGTAAGTCCAAGCTGGCTATGAGCCAGCTGTCAGAGGGCTCCTTAGCTGACCAAAGCAAGCGATCAAAGCTTTCGTCTTCAAATCTCACATAGAGGTTCAGCCGGCTGGTATCTGACAGAAACCTTGAAGACGCAGTTATCTGGTAGACCAGTCGGAGGCAGCTCCATTCCTCAGCCTGTAGGTCAGAACTTAGCAGCACGGCCTTTTCCCCCTGTTTGGCAAAGGAGGTGTCCACGTAAATGTAATGGCCTGGAAAGAGAAGGGAGCCCCGGAAAGGATCAGTCTGCTGTTTGAAATTCAGGGAAATACACAGCTGTGGTCCAGTGAAGAGACAGCCTGCAGATGCGTTTCAACGGCCCATTGAATGTTGCTTGCACATGGGATCCCTGCCTTCTTGTGAAAAATTAGAAGGCCCCACAACACAGAGACCACTATCACGTGACACGTGACCACAACAGGCTGGAGCTAAGGAGTGCTGCCTCTTCAGAGGGTGACATGGGGGCTCCATTTTACCATAATCCCCACTACTCCCTATTACCTCCTGACACTGAAGCCAAGAGTCCGTGGCCTTTTATGATCTTACACCAGGCCCACTCAGCATGCAGCTTTCAGCTTCCTTGTCCCCACGTGAACGCGAGTTTGAGAAGTCAGGCGGAGGGGCTGCAGTAGCCAGAAAAGCAGGATGCCTCTGCTGGAGTCACAATACCTTGGTGGACTCAACCTTCTCCTTCAACAACTCCCCACATACCCAGTGATTTGGCCTGCATTTAACCGGCATCATTATTGCACATCGAATGTATTTGCTTGCCACAGATCCTGGGGCCTAGGCACAAAAAGTTCAGCGTCAGCTAAACGTCACAGTTCTGATAACTAAATGGGAACGCAAACGTAAATCGCGGAAAACAGGCCACTCGTCACTTCCTTCCCCCCACCCCCTCCTCCTTCCTCCGCTTTTCCTTCTCTCCTCTTCTCTCTTCTCCTTCCCCTCTCCCCCCAACCTCCTCCTCAGCCTCCTCCTTTCCTTGCCCTCTTTATAGTCCCCTCCCCTCCTGCTGCCTCCCTTCCCCATTCTTGACACCGATAGGTGGAGATCTGCGGGCTATACCAGGATGTGGAGCAGAGTTTCTACGAAAAAAACCAAAAAACAACGAAACAAAACATGTTGGAAGCAAGAACTGTAACCTGAGCCTTCTGAATCTGACTCTGTTCGGCTTCCTACGGCAGTGACCTGATGTGCCTGCGCATCTCGGGGACCCACTGCACTCTCATGCTTGCTCAGAGTTTCCCATATTCGCGGCCAGCATCTAACCTGCGGCCTTCCATCCTGGAATCACCTCCCCCACCCCTTGCATTTTAGGCTCCCCAACACCAAACTCTTGCTAGAAAGGCCCTGAAATCCCTCTTTGCTTTGCTTGATGTCCTTCGGCCCCCACCCCCACCCCGCACACTCATTGCCCCAAATGCCCACCCCAGCCGGGCCCCCTGGGCTTTCGTGGTGAGCACTGATGGGCCAGCAGACGCTCAGCTGACGGCCAGCCTCGCAGTTGGGGTGCTATCTTCAGGGAGCTTCCCTGGCCTGTGAAGGGTTTCGAGATCAACATCTACTTCCAGCGGGCAGTCTTTCAACTTCTGATAGCCAGGGCACAGTGTGCTGGGACCATCACTCTGGCAATCTGGCCAGCACATGAATCACAGGGGCCTTCTTGGTAGCCCTGCATTCTATTTGCTGATGAATGTACTGTCTTTCAGGTGTAATGGTTATGCTGGGGTGACCGTGCGGTGCAGTGGACCCCACCCAGGATCTGTAAAGCATAACTGTTGCTTAAAACTCTACCATGCATAGGCTGTGTCATCAGTTTCTGTAACTGCAAAATGGGGATAACAAAACAGTGGAGTCCGGTTACCTATACATTAATACTTTGGGAAGGCACTCAACGTACTCGGAAAAAAACAACTGAAAATGACCCAACCACTGCAATATATACAGACCCACACGGAATGATTTCATACAAATAGCCACTAAATAAAATCTGCTTCTATATTTCAGCACTAAAAGGAAAACTGGCTGTGTTGCACATGCAAATAGTATAATATATAGGGAACCACATCCACTGCAGTCTGCAACTTAAGGAAGTTTCAAGGGCAATTTTGATGGTGTCCGATTTTCACCTTTTGTGCCGACTTGAGAACATAAGGCCCCGGCGAGCTAGGACTTGCAATCTACGGGGTCATTGTAAGGACATGATGAAAACGATGTATCTAAAAATGCTTTGTAAACTGTAATGCCAATTGTCAGTTATTTCTCTTATCGTCAGGGGGAGGGGTCCTTTAGTTGTTCCAGAGATAGTGAGAAATTGATGTCGCCTCCTTTTTGTCCGCTACGGTTCGGAGCCAAGCAACATTTTGTTGAGGTAGCAGACCAGTAGCACCTTTTCAATGCTAAGACGACAACAGTCTTCACCCAGTTCACCTCAGTTGACCCCTCCACGTTGACGCCTAGGCCTCTATGCTCTTCAGCGCCGGGCCCCTCCTGGTTGCCTGTCCTCACAGCTAAGCTCCCCTGGCTGTCATCTGGGACTACTCACCATCCCATCCAAACTGGACCTTGGCACATGTATGATCCTTGGCACGAGTGAAAACTCGTGACCTAAATCTGATAATGATGCCTATGTCTCCATTTTGTTAGCTCTCGGTACCACGCACGTCGAACATAAGGACATGGCCTTCTCTCTGGCAGCTTCCTTCCCCGGGCTGAAGTCCAGCCCCCTGAACTCAGGCAATGACCCTCTCACCAGATTTCCTGAAGGCCTTGCTGCCTGTCTCCTGGGATGGGGTCCTGCCTGTGGAAGCGCATGGTGGAGAGGGGGGGAGGGTCACAGTTATCGCTCCAGACTGATGTTGGTTCAAATTCCAGTCACATCACTTACAAATCGCGCCATTTTGAGCCAGTTACTTATACTATCTGAGACTCCCTTTCTTCATTGGTGGAATGAGAATGCTAAAACACTGACTTGGCAGAGTTTTAAAGATTAAATAAGGTAACGTAAGTAAAGATCTCAGCACTGTGCCCAAGGGTTTGCATGGGGCAAACTCTTAATAGATGTTAGCTCTTATCTTTCCAGCTGACCGATCAGTCTACTCTTCCTGGTGGCTCACTCACCTCGTCATCTCACGTGGGACCTCCCTGATGCCAGCTGCCACTTGCCTTACCTGCTACCCATCATCCTGCCCTTCCGACACCAATTCCTGCCCACTGCACGGGATATCCACCTGCAGCTGTATCCGTTCTCCTTGGTTCCTGCTCCAAAGCTGTGGGCACACCTCTTTCTAGGTCTCAGCCACAGCCGTCCCATTGCCCGACTGTGTTTTCTGCCATGACAACCATCTCTGGGATCTACCAGCTGATCAAAGCAGCCCAGGTAAGAAAGCATGCACAGCACCCGGCAGATATTCAGAAGGTTTTTTTTTTTTTTTTTTTTTGCCTATGTAGGAGAGAGGATGCCTCACGTAGCACATCTTCAATTATGTATAAAGCCATCAGCTTACATTTTGAAGGAGTCTTGCTTTCTTCACACATCAAAGACATCCAAAAAATTAAAAAGTCAAATGTATACAAACCGCAATGGGCATAGGGGTTCTCAAAAACTGTTGACTGTGTTACTAGAAAATAAATTGTATAGCATTTCTCAAATGTAAAAACTGTATTAAATATTCGGGATTGTTAGTATCTGTTTTTTTTTTCTATCAGACTCACAATTATTAATAAATCTACTGATTACCTCTAGCAGAAGAAAGTTCTGTTCTGAGAATATCTAAGAAAAATCACAGATTTCTATGGTTTGCCTAAAGTATGCTCACCTTCTGTGTCTCGCTTTACTAGTATCCTCTGTGGTTTAGTAAATCACTATATGAATATATATGGATAAGAAACAAAGATTCAAAAGGAACTGACATTTGTTGTGTTGTAGGCATGAGATTCTTGATGTGTGTTCTTCCCTCTTAATCCTGACGGATGATCTCTATCAGGCAGGAAATGCCACTTGACAAGGGAGGAAAGAGATTCACAAAGGTCAGTGCAGCAGTCCACAGTCACGGCGAGTGAACCAAGGTTGGGCTCCAAGTCCCTGCTTTCCGCGCCCCCCCCCCCAACTGCCGCCTCCCACCGCTCCATGCTGCCTCCAAACGTTTCCTAGACTGTCTCTTTATTAATTTATCTTTTCATAATTGTATTCATCTTCTTATAGCAGGAGGGCAAAGTTTTCTTCCTTTTCTTTATTGCGGAATCCTAGATGGACCGACGTTTCTAACGTGCAAGCCCATATGGGCTTTTCTACAAATACTCTTCATACTGATAACACAATAACCAGATTAACTTTTCTGACATATCGCCTCGACTATAAAAGGCTTTTTACATAGTTTTATAAAATTAGGGTATGCCTCATAGTTGATCTATAGTAGTATACCTTCCACCACCTGCAAAGGATGTTAGCAAACCAGAGGTTAGAATCAATGCATGCAGAATAAGATATTTGCACCTGCACTTGGATTAGTGACAGAGGACAGAGACCCCACAATCTTGGGCTCAGAGGACCCCAGCCAACATCTCCTATAGTTACTGCTGGGGTGTGGGGTCTGGGGCAACAAGGAGCCACTCAGCATGAGGGCAGCACCGGCTCATAAGTACAAGGCACAGCCCAGAGTTTCAGCTCAGCGTCCTGGTAAGTATTTATTCGCTTGCATTGAGGAGAAGGCACTATGTGCGCATCCATTTGCGGGCTGGGTTGGACCCCTACGTGTCAGACAACAGGTGCTCTGTACTGCCCAATGTAAGCAAGTCTCCCTGCTGCATTAGAAAGGGTCTCTCTACAGAGTTTTGCGAAGCAGATCTCCAGGAAATGTTCTTTCCTTTCCTCTCTTTGCCAGGTCCCTAATAATGACACAGTTTCAGGAAACTCCTCATTCCCATTCAGCAAAACTGCTCCCAATCCCTGGCTTTCAGTTATCTGCCATGCATAGACATGAATGAGCTCTAAGAGGTATGCACTTAAGCCTAAATCCCCCCAGACAGCAATGCACTGATTTTTAGTGTGACTTAAAAGGCAGGACATGGTTCTGAAATGTAATGGAGAAAATGATCTATAATTGAGAAGAAGTGACTGGCATTCACAGTCCTATTTTGGTCCCAACTGGTAAGAAAGCCCTCCCAGAATGAATCCTCTGGTATAGCAGAGGCTCTCGTGATGGGGAACGTCTCAAATTCTGCTTTGCTTACGGAGAAAGGAAGCCTGCATTTCAACAGCAGCAGCAAATTGTCAGAGGCTTCAGGGCCATCCCAGCACCCAGGGCTGTGGGCAGGGTGGACCCTTTTTCCTGCCATGCAAGTTGACTTTTCCTGGTATCCATTTATAAGTAAGAATTTCCCCTTGGTACCAGGGGAGCCACAGCCATGCCTCTGAGTGCAGGAAACTAGAAACTTCATGTGTGGGGTTGCAAGCGAGCTTGCTGTGCAATAGTGCCCCGGGGAAGGTTTTATTCCCTCCACTGCCACTTGGCATTAAAATGGAAGACAACTGTAGGCCCAGGTTGGACTCACGGAATGTAGAGTGTGACCATCAACTGGCAACATGAGTCCTGGTCCTGAAAGAAGGCCATGGGGACAGGTGGGGTCTCGCTTCTTCCTCTAACTGACTCAGCATCTTCTCCCGCTTCTGGGGTGTCTGGCCTGAGGGCAATTTCCACAGGGAGGCTGTGGCACCTTTCACTTTCGAGGTGCTTTGCGTATAAATCAGATGGGAGCGGCATTAACGTCTCCGACTCCCCTGGGTTGCAAAATGCTTTCTGCCTCGGGACTCCTCGATACCCTCTCTCTGTAGGTTTTTGCTCCTACCTCCCACCTGCTCTTCCCACGCATCTCCTTGGGACCGGCCTACCCTCGTCTCTTAAGTGCGTGCATTCCCCTGGGTCTGTGTCTGGTGTCTCTACTCCGATGAGTCTTTTTCCCTGTAGCAGGAGCTTCTAACTGCTTACCCCCCATCCGTTCTCTCCTGCTTCCTCTCTGAAGAGCCCTGGTTTGATCGGGGCTGGTGCTGTCCCCAACCAGGACATTGCCACTGCCATGCCACCCTTGCATGTAGAGGTGGCCCATGACAAAGTTCCAGACGGAGATGTAAGAGCACTTCGCTGGATGGGGTTTCCAGGAACGTTCCTCTAAAGACAGGCCCGACGCAGTTGGCTTCTCCTTTCGTCCCTCCTTTCCTCCTCCTTCCCATCTGAGGTGTGGGTGCCATGGGCTGCAGCTGCAGGACCCATTTGTTTATTTATATTTTTTAATTTTGAGAGAGAGAGAGAGAGAGAGAGAGAGAAAGAGAGAGAGAGAGAGAGAGACGGTGGGGGAGGGGCAGGCAGAGAAAGGAGATAGAGAATCCCAAGCAGGCTCCGTGCCATCAGGGCAGAGCCTGATGTGGGGCTCGATCCCACCAACAGTGAGATCATGACCTGAGCTGAAATCAAGAGCCGGACGCTTAAGTGCCACCCAGGTGCCCCATGCAGTGGCCATATAAACCCAGGAGATCACTGAGGTGACCGACTCATCCTAGTTAGCCTGGGACTTTCCTGGTTTTGAAACAGAAGGTCTCGTATCCTGAGAACCCCCTGAGTCCCAGGCAAGCTGACACGGTCGGTCCCTTTAGCAGGCAGCCTGAGGATGGGAGTCGGTGCTGTGGTCCTGGCACAATCACCGGAGGACCTCGATTCCCGCCCACACTGTGGAGTCTGCAGACCAGTCTGGACTTTCTGCCTCTGTACTTCTCATTAGGAAGGAGAGAAGCAAATGCAAGTTTAAACCCCTGTTATTCATTCAGCTGTCTCTGCTACAGTCCCTTTCAAGCACCTGTCGGATTTACACCCGTGACTTCCAGCTTCATTTCTCTACAGGTGACTCCCGAATCTATGTCACCAGCCGGATCCCACATTACCTTCCAGACTCGTGTGTCCAACTTCCTGGTGGGCATCTCTGCTTGGACACAAACCCATTCTCTGTACCCCCCAATCCTGCTCTTCCTCTGAGTTCCAAATCACAGTGACTGGAGCCCCCGGCTACCCAGTGACCAACCAAGAAATCTCAGCACCTTCACCGATTCCTTCGTCCCCCTTCTCCAAAATTCTACCAGTCTTGAGGACTTAATTTCCTAAATGTATCTCAAAGCCATCCATTCCTCCAGGTCCCCTCTCTGGCACAAGTTTAGAACACCCTCTTCCGTCTGGATTATTGGAATAGCCTCCCAGTACATCTCCCTGCTTCAGTCTTGCCCCATGCAAATCTGATCTCCAAGCAGTAGCCAAGGTATTATTCTACGATGCCGAATTGATTGTATCACTTTCTGGCCTAAAATACCCAAGGGAACCCCACACTGTCCTTGATATAAGGCCCTGCTGTTCTGGCTGTCATAGTTAACCACCACATCCCTATCGCAGTCTACACAGCAGCACAGGATTTCTTCTAGCTCCTCTAAGCTAAGGTGCCACATTCTCTTTCTTCCAGGCCTTCTTACGTGGTGTTTTCTTCACCTACGATACTCTTTCATCTCCCTTTCTTCATACATTCCACTCTACTACCCCTTGCCTCCTTTCCTAACTTACACCTACACTTCATTAAGGTCTCTGCTTCAGAGAGCCACTCGGTACAGTTGTGCAATGCACAACCTGGACAACTGTCCATGGTGATCCTATTTAGATACAGCTTTTTCCAGGCAGCATACTTGTCTGTATTGCTCCCTAGGTTTTAAGCATATCCTACCTATCTGCCTAGGTGATCTCTATATTTTTAAATAAATGAATAAACTCCTTCCTGATGATAGATTTCTTTCGTTATGTTTACATATAAAGGACACATTGAAAGTCTTTTTTATTATGGAGATGTCTCATTAGGCATGAATTTCATAACAATTACTCAATTTACCATTATTTTAGGAAGTATGGTATTTAATGTGAGCTGTAAGTTCAATGGCAACTCACACGACACTTAATGTCTTCATGTATGCTCCCACCGTTAACTTCCTGAAACAGAAATTCTCATTATGTCAAGATACACAAAGAATTGTTAAAACACACAATTCTTTGTCCTTCTGGAATGCAGGGTTTAGGGGAGGCATTCAGAAAATGTTTCAGTATGTGACATTTCTAGGTTCAAGAGACCTGGAGTTTTATCAGCTTCCAATTTTGAGGAGTGCCAAAGTGCAGAGATCAGCGCTACATGGGGAAGTGTTGAGGTCAGCATTGCTTAGACGCCTTAAATGCCATTTTCGTTCCCCCTGACAACGGGCAAATTATTCTCATATCCTGGCTAACACTGCAAAAGGAGGCTTAGAAGATTACAAAGCATTAACCCTGGCAAAAGTAAAAACAAACGCCAGCAGGCAATCTCCAGTGTAAACAATCTACCAACATTGGAAACCACTACCACAGATGTTGGCTCCACCCTCCTGCGTAGGGTCTGGGAAGGGCACAGATTTAAACCCCGCTGGCCCCAGTGGCAGTTTAAGAAGAGAAGTTTACCTTAGCAACCGTCAACAGAAAACCAAACCATGAAGTAAAAGGTCATGGGATATCTGGAAAGGGAGCGCCACTTGATACAATATTTAACAAATAACTATGAAAATATAAGAAAAGGCTGCATTATCTGATAGTGTGTTCTACCAAAAATCAGTTTCTCAGAGCACGTTTTCCGCAACATGACTTGGCCGGGCGGGGAAGATATTCCCTGCAAAGTTAGAAAGGTCCTTCTAGGGGCGC